GGCAATTAGTCTCTAATCCAATTCTCAGTTTCTGAAAAAAACATCAATTACTTTTTGCACGTAATAATCTCAGGTATGTATCTAGACTCTTATTCACCTAAATACTAATATTGGTCAACAGATGGTAGTCGAACTTCCCACTGTTGGCTATCGAAAGTTAGGCTGTAGTTGAGAAGCTTTCTGAATTTTATGTTCACACAAAGGTGCTGAATACTTTTTCTGGCTGGAGTGCTTTGAACTAACCTTGTGCCTTTGATCTCACAGTCTTACAGTGTCCTCAGGGTATTTTCTCATTTAGACACATGGCTGCCTTAGGAGATGGAAGGAGTAGAATGGCAGCAATCCTTTGTAGATCAGGACTTGGGATGTAGAAAATTTGACACCATATGAAATAGGCTGGGAGAGATGGAAATAGAAATTAGGATTCCTACACAACACTGAGGAATGGACTGGAATATTTTCTATATACCAGGCAAACAGACTTCCCTTGGTTCTAGCACACACTGAGGGTCTCTTGGGCTAGCAAATATGTGAAGGTTACTTTAATCATTCATAAATGTTCAGTTTGGAAGTCCTGAGCTCAGTTGACCTACGTTGCAGGCAGACTATGGGCATTTTAAGGCTCTCAATACCATAATGACCCAGGCTTTTTCTGACCCCAAGACTATATATTACAAATTTATCCTTGGAGAGTCCATACCAGTCAGAGTGATCCATGCCTGCCTATGGAATGACGATTAACTTCCTCCAGAAAAAAAAGTTTTGGTTTTTGACCACCTATTGATTATTCTCAAAGTGCTTAGTGATTCTTCATCATTGTACGGCTAACCTCCACAGCAGTAAAATCATGGTGTCTTCTAGGAACCCTGTTCAATTACAGATTAACCTCCTGTGTCTTTAATATCTTCATATTACTCATGGTGCTGGTAATTATTTAAAACTAGCTCTCTGGAAAAAAATGTACATACAAACACACGCAAGTTTTTGCTACAATTTACTAATATAAATAATGTGTAGCACACAGTTTACAGATAATGATACTCTTATAAATTCTTATAGCCAATAGATTTTCACAGAACACTTTGTTTTTTGGCTGAATTCTTGTTGCTGATAAACAGTGGCTGCAAATGGATGTAGTTCCAACATAAATGTTGGTTAATACTTTCATTTAGATTGATGAGGAAGGCAAAGTGAAACCGTGAAGGCAAATGTCAGGTTCAGGCTTAATTTGTAATGACGTGAGTGACTTCTTTGCAAAATCAGATTGTGGTTTGAAACACTAAGAGAATATTTTCCCCAATCTTTCTTTGTGCTACTCACCATGAAATGGCTGCAGACATGTGGCCGTTTACATTTCTTACACATTGGTAAGTTTAATCTGCACTATTTTCTCCATTATTTTTTTAAAGTCTAAACCAGGATTTGGCAAACTTTTTCTTAAAGAGCCAGTGGTAAACATTTCAAATTTAGTGGCACATGGTTTCTCTTAGAGTTACTCAGCGCTGTCATTCTTGTGGAGCCACAGACGATACCACTTACTGTTGGCTGTATTCCAGTAAAACTTTATTTACAGCAGTAGGCAACAAGTGGAAAATAGTTTGTCTAAACAAGTAACAAAGCAATAAACTGAACCCTGATCTGTAGCATTTATGTTTCCATAGTGTAAAAACTCCATCATGGTCAATTTCCAGTTACCAAATCAATGTTACTGAATGGGGAGTTGAGAATGGATGGGCAGTAGCACCCGTGATGTAGTATTTCAACCATGCAGATAAAATAGGTGGGACAGGGGCGCCTGGGTGGCTCAGTCAGTTGAGCGTCTGTCTTTGGCTCAGGTCATGGTCCTGGGGTCCTGGGATTGAGTTGGAATTTGCTTCTCCCTTTACCTGCTCCCCCGCTTGTGCTTGCGCTCTCTCTGACAAATGAATAAAATCTTTAAAAAAAAAAAAAAGGTGAGAATAACCTCAAGAGTATAGGTAATAAAATGCAGTACAGCCATGAGAAAATGAGGGATTTTGAGTATGTATTGCCTTTGGTTTTAATATCACTGCCTTAATTGTAAGCTCATGTAGTGTAACATCAGTTGAACATAGTTAGGCCTCGCAGTCAGCTCTGAAATTTTCTGACCATCGTGGACCTTGTTCTTGTGAGTTGGTGTGAGCTGTTGCTACCACACCTTTTCCCTGGCACTTTTCCCACTGCAGTTTCATTCGAAGCAGGACCCATAAATTCATCCCATGGACATTTTATTAGCGGACACTCTCTTGTCATTCTCTTGACTCCCCTTTGTTACTCTCAGTTGAAGTATCTTCAGCTTTCTTGTAAAAAGCCTGAACCTTGGAAAATGGGCCTTGTTCTGAGTAATGGACCATTCAATGATTGTGACTTGCATGTGACTTCAGCTGCCTTGTGACATTCATTCCAAATAATTTCTTTAATTCCTCTTTTTTTTGCCATTATTCTAACAACCCACTTCCATACCTGTCTCCTAAACTTAGTATCTCCATGAATAGGTTCACCATCTTGAATTTTGATACCTTCCTTTGTGATTTAAGCCATAAATGATATAATCCTCCTAAACTTAGGATGCCTAATTTTCAAGCACACTGAAATGTGAAGTGCTTGACATTTTCCTTGCCGTCAGCCTGTTGGGGTTCATCTTTTTACTCACTCACCTTGGGCTACTGGCACAATTGTAAGCAGTCTCACCAGTGTTTCTAAGGTGTCATCCTCTTGATCTACTGCCGTATTTTGAAAAACACAGTCTTGGCTTTCTATAACCATTTTTTTCCTTCCTTTCTACCTCTGCTGTTGATCACAGGTGGTGTGGGATATAAAAACTTACGCACTTCCTGTTTAGTAGCTCCATTCCATTCCATTTTCTTTCCTCATCGTTTACTGCAATTCACTCAGTTTCCTGTTCCATACAGCCTACATTCCAAGCCTGGACCTCTCTTCTCAAGCAAATGACTCCATCCCTGCCTCTCAGTTTCAAGCTGGCAAGCTTGCCATTACAACTCAAAGCCTGGTGAGTGGAGTTGGTGTGACAGAGTGTGAGTCAGTTCTCTGAAACAGTTGTCTAAATCTGACCCACCTACTCCTGGGGAGAGCTGAAGACTGAATCTCAAGACCTAAATAGGCTGGGAAGGCTATGAAGAGTAGAATCTTGAAGAATAGTAAGTAATAAATAGGCCATGATCCACTTTGCCCCTGGGGTTTTGTCCTCATCTTTAACTCTGCAAACTGTCCCTGAGCAATCACACTGATGATTTTAGCTATAGCCTGAAAGCTCATGACATCTTAATTTTTCCTTTCCTTCTCTTGGGCTTCAGAATTTTACTGGTAACTACACATCGTTATCAGCAATCTCCAAAAGTAAAATAAACTTGACAGGTTTATTTCCAAAAATGATGTTTATGTACTTCAGCCTGTCCTGAGACTGCACTCTATTCTGAAATTTTTCTCTTGGTGACAGGCAAGGTAGACAGTGGAGAGTATACTTTACTCCTCCCTCACCCTCATTTGCCCATGTCCGTAGGTTTCCATTTGCAGAAAATTGCACCTCCTAAAAATCTTTCATCTGTCTCTTCCTTCCTATCCTGCATCGCCTCTCCTTTAGTTGAATGATTCTTGGGTCTTCACATTGCAGTAACCACCAGACTCCAATCGCCTACTCGACTGACCCTCTATGAGGTCGCCAGAGTAATACGCCAACATGAAAATTCCAAATTGTTTTAATCACCCTTTACAGAGTATTCAGATGTCCAAAGAGGACTGTGCCTGTCACAATTCTGGATACTCCCTTTTTTGCAGTCTTTGTTTTCTAGGATCAATTCTTGTATGACTTTTTGCATTATCAAATGTACCACACCTCACTGAGAAAACAAGACATTTGAACTAACAGGTACATACAGTACCTGGATTCAGACCCAAAGTGTATAGTATGCAGAAAGTTGAGGGTTTCCTCTCTATGGCTTTTGAGTTCTACTTTAAGAAGCAGAGAGAATGCTTTTTCCATTTTTCTCCTCTTTGAGCTTGCTAAATGCAGGCCAAAATTTTCATCTCAGAAACAAAAGCAGTAAGTAGGTAATATAAAGAGACTAATGGTGGTGAAGTACATTTTGAGAGCTCAATTTCATTGTAATTTTCATTGTAATTACATAAATTAAAAAAAAATGAGGATTACCATATCAGAGCATTAGCTAGAATGTTAGGGAGGTGCCACCCACATGGAGCAGCAGTGACATGGGTGAAGACTCTGGTGACAGTAAATTGTACCGTGATTTCAAAATAATAATTTCTGCCTAGGGATGGGGAAAGGGGATTCTGTAGCTACAGAGTAGGTGGAAAGCAGGAGCAAAGGTAATGTAAATACACTGTTGAGAATAAGTAAGGAAAAAGGATTATTTCAAAATTATTTCATATTAAGAGAAGGGGAGCAGCATTTGGAAGGCCCAAGGAATGACCTTTCTGGTAGAAATCACCTGTAGACTCAAATAGGACAGTGGTAGCCATAGAGAAGTAGACATGGTATTGGGAAAGATGAACAGCAAATAGATAGTATGGGCTAGTGAGACAGAGATCACTGGGATAAAATGCAAAATGAGATGCCTCGTAGGTAGAATTGATAGTAACAAAAAATCACTTGGAGGTAGAGAAGAGTAGACCTGCCCCTGAAGAAAACCAGATTTTTAAATGTAAAGGAAAACTTCCACTATATTCTGGACAGAAAGGTCATTTAAAGGAAAAGGGTGACAGAGAAAATCACAGATAAGGAAGAGAAAAAGACTCAATTTTCTTAAAACTTCTGTTTCTGAAAGAGCCCAGAACAGAGGAGACAGAAATAGTAACTATACAAAATAGATGTAATTTTCCTAAGTGGAATAAAGCAAAAACAATTGATTATACTTGAACACTCTGTCTTGAGCCTCAAGAAAATGTATAGTCTATGAAAAATAACATGTAATACATTATAAAAGATAATATATACATTTTTTGGGTCAGGAAGTAGGATTTATTGGTGTACATGAATACGGAGGGAGCAGTGCCAAGATTCTCATAAATGCAGTCTCCCATTTGTCCCGGGGTCTGTGATTAGGGATGTATTCAACTCCATAGTTATCTGGGAGTAGCTGTCTTTCAGCCACCATGTCTTCAAATTCTTCATAATTAAACCTACTAAATCCCCACTTTTTGGAAATGTGGATCTTCTGGTGGCCAGAGAACTTGAACTTGTTCCTGCATAGGGCCTCCGTCCCATGCTCCTTGTTCTTTAATTTGATACTGATGGACATGATGACTTGGCCAATGTGGATCTTGGCCACTGTGCTCTGGGGCTTTCCAAAGGCACTCCACATTCCTGTCTGGAGCCTGTCAGCCCCAGCACAGGTCAACATCTTATTATATAATATACAATAAAATATATATTAAATAATATATACAATTTTTACTCAAATGTAAAATCTATAAGTATGCAAGAGTGAAAAGATTTATCTATAAAGGCAACTGGTGACATTGAGGGAAGGCTTGGAGAAGTTTAATCCCCACTCTAATAATCTCCAGTGAGTTGCCAAGCCACACTACATGAAGGCAAAATCGCTCATACCCTTGCAGTGCGATCATGGTTTTAAGTCCCCAAACACCCTTTCCATCACTCATCTCCACCCCTACTAGACTGCTATACCTAATGCTTCCTTCAAGTGAAAACATTCTGAAACCAACACTCTTAAAGACATACTGAACGAAAAAATAAATGAAGAATCGGGGCCACGTGATAGAAAAATTACTGGTGACGAATGCTGAGAAGTAGCCATTGAGTTTATTCACTCTGCAGATACTTATTGAGAACCTTTGATATGAGAGCCATTGTTTTAGGAGCTAAGAATGCAACACATGGCAAAAGACAAGGCCCCTGTCTCATGGAGAAAACATAATAAAATGTCAGGAGACTATTTAATGCTCTTATGTATGGGACATCTACATGTTTCCAAGAAAACTTCAGTAGATAAAAAGGACATTTCAAAGTGTCACAAAGGTGATGGTTGTACTTGGGATTTCCTTTGCTTTCCAATTTTCTTTTTGAGACTTTCATGACTTATCTTTAGGGGTAAGAAACACTAGAAGCTGCAGCAGTTCCAACTTAGAGACCACTGTTTGTCCACGGGTTGGCAAGGGTCAAGCACTCCCAAAACAGTATAATTTTGGGACTAAGTTTACTTCTTAGGAGATATAAAACCATCAGTGGAGTGTTATACAGGCCTCCTACCTGAGTTGGATAGAATGTTGGAATGTCCTAGGATCAACTCGGCAGTCAGGAGAGAATGTTCACTTGGTCATTCGAGGAAGTAGTTTAAATGCTTAAAACTTTGTACTCCAAAGGCAGATCCTGGCTTTGCCATGTTCTGAGTGATTGCTGTTGATACATTACTTAACCTCTCTTACTTGTCATTTAATCTCTATGCATAAGAAAAGATTTTATTTGATAATATATGTATAATTGTTGGGATTACTTCTCTGCAAAGTGTCCACATTTTTTTTTTTTTAACTGTCCTTACTTATAACCAGTGCTAACTCTTGATCTGATGGATACAGAAGTTCCTTGCCCAAATTATTTTCAGCTTTTGTGGTTGCTTTTTGAAGCAAGAAAAATACATAGATATAAGTACATATGGAAAACAGTTTTCAAAATCAATTACGGAAGAAGGGATAAATAACCAGAATAAAATATACAACCATAGTTTTGACTATTTGGAGAACATTTACTCCTGTATTGATTTGTACTGAGTGATGAGCACTTAGCAATTAGCAAGAAGGCTTAAGTTTTTCTGAGTTTTTATAATTGGGTAATTAACATTGTACTTAAATAATCATTGCTTTTTGTAGGAATCAGTGCAATGATTTTTTTCTTTTCTAGAAGGGTTCTATGGCATGGCTGTAGATTTTATTTTTCTCCCCAAAGCAATCAAGTTCTGGACAACTTGCTGTGACCTCTGGAAGTTTTTATATTTCTGATATTAAATTGAAAGTTAAAAGGATGAATACATTTTCCTTTTACAAAAAGAAGCTCTTAGGGATGTTTAAGATGTCTGGGGAAAAACATGGCTATAGTTTAATCTTGTTTCACTCAAAATAAGAAAAATAATTAAATGTGAGACTTAGAAGTACAATTGCTTTGATGCTATTCTAAGATGATTTGCTTTAGATTAGAAAAGAGGTCTGATTGAGACGATGTGTTTGTTTCCAAATGCCTTGTTTCTGACATGGGTGAATAAAGATTTTTCAGTTGTCCATGTGTTTCAAAATAAACCCTGAAAAACTAACTTTCCCTTATTGTGATGAGGATACGTTTTAAAAATGATTTTTTAAAGAGCCTGTAACCTAAACAATTCTGTAAGTATGCATGTGGTGATATTTACTAGAAATCATGCCTACAATTGGCTTATCTCCAATCTTTATATTTTGTATAAATACTAGGTCGAGTCAGAATAGCATAAAGCAGCCAGAGGTGGTCAGAAATGAATCCTTCCCTTACAGGATGAGTTGGGAATTCATGGCCCACAGGCCAAATCTGAACTGTTGTTTCATTTGTTAACATACTGCTTATGGCTGCTTTGATGCTGCAAAGGCAGAATCCAGTAGCTGTGAAAGAGCTAAAGCCTAAGGCATGTACTGTCTGGCCCTTAACAGGAAGAAGTTTGCTGATCTCATCTTGATCCTCTGCTAGCCAGGGCAGAAGTTCAAATGAAGAGAAGAGGGTACCTGGGTGGCTCAGTCGGTTAAGCATCTAGTCTGCCTCCGGCTCAGGTCATGATCCTGGAGTCCCGGGATTGAGCCCCGCTTTGGGCTCCCTGCTCAGCGGGGTGTCTGCTTCTCCCTCTGCCTCTGCTCCTCCTTCCGCTCGTGCTCTCCCTCCCTCTCTCAAATAAGTAAAAATATCTGAAAGAGAAAGAGAAGAGAGAGAGGGAAAGAAAGGGAGAGAAAGGGAGAGAGAGAAAGAAAGCGAGAGAGAGAGAGAGAAAGGAAGGAGGGGGAGAGAGAGAGAAAGGAAGGAGGGAGAGAGAAAAAGGAGAAAGAAGAACTGTATAGAGAGAAAGAAAGAAGAAAGGAGAGAGAAAGAAAGAAGAGAGAGAAAAGAGAGAGGAGAGAGAGAGAAAGAGAGAGAGGGATAAAGGAGAGAGAGAGAGAGAAGGAGAGAGAGAGAGAAAAGTAACAATAAAGGTGACAGAGTGGGAAAGGCAGTAGGAAAGGAGCACATGGCCCAGATCAACTTCTGACCTCTGACATCTCCCAAAGGGAGGGAGACAAACTGAGGGATGCTGGGGAAATGAATGAGCCACATGGGGGGCCGTGAGGAGCAGGTGTGAGGCCAGGTAAATGCCAGGACCTGCTCTTTGACTTCCAGACCTCAGCAGGTCTCCTTTGGCCTCCTGTTGTTGCCAGGATGTTGATTCACTGGCACTCACGACAGACTAAACTAGGATCAATTTTAGAACAGCTAAGGCTTACCTTGGGTCAAGGACTTGAGCATATCCCTGTTTTCTTCCTGCATCTTTTTCAGCTTGGTCTAGTCTCCTTTGTGGATTTTCTCCTCTTTCTCCCTCTGTTGGTCCCAGGTCATTCCTTTCACTATACACACTCTCTTGTGCGATGTCGTATCATTGGATAGCTTTATGTTCTGCCTATGTGTTGCTCACTCTGAGGGCTGTACTGTTTTTAATCTAAGTGTAGTAGGCTGTATTCCTCTTCTTTGCTAAATAAGACCATACATCCCTGTCCCACTGACTTTGGGCTTGGCTCCATGACTTGTTCTGGCCAAAGGGATATGAGTAGATGTGCTATATACCATGTCTGAATGGAAACTTTTAAGTTATGAGTGTGGTTTGGCTTGGCTCCTCATGCTTGTGCTTTATGCCACCAAAACAGCATGTGTCAGAAGGGGTTGCTCCTTCTGACAGTGTTGCGGAGAAGAGCTTCAGCCCATCTTGTCGTAGGTCTGCTAACTGAATGTCTATTCTTGGGAGCTATGGGGATTTTGGGGGGTGATTATTATACAACAACATTGGCTAATTAGCAAAACTTTGGCTAGATAGTTTTTCTTAGATAATTTTCCAGATATCTCAAAGTCAAAATTTCCGAAATTGAACTGACCCTACTTGGGGTCACCCACAAACTTTTTTGTCCTCAGTGTTCCCTACCTCAGTGAAAGCTACCTTGTTCCATCCAGTTCCCCAGTCAAAACAGTTACAGTGTGTTTTCCTTCTCAATGTTGAGGAATTTATTGGATATTTTAAAAAAAAACAAAGCTAAACTGAGTAAATTTGAAGGTCTAATTTATTCATGCATCAAGCAGCATTCCATCTAGCAAGTAGAGGGGGACTACATGAAGCGAAACAAGTTTTTAAAGGTAGAGGGCATTAAGAAGAAGAAGAAGAAAGGAATTTATTGGTAAGAAGCACATTGTTGGGGGAAAATTGCTCTCCTAAGGGGAGCAGAAAGAGTTAATCAGGAAATTTCCTAGTATTGACCAGGAAATTCCATGTTGACTGGTTAAAGGCTCCACTCCTGGGGGGTTGAAACTGGCTAGAGTTTAGGTATTAAGTCTTGGTTTACTCCCTTGGGGCCTCAACCTCAGTGGTAGTACTGTTGGCCTATAGTATTCTTTTAACAATATCTACTGTGTTAAAAGATCACTACTAGGCACAAAGGATATAGTAACACATAAAAAAGACAAAATTGCTCTTGCCCCAGAGTAGAGGATGCATTTGTGGAGGCAAACAATAAAATAATTCCCCATGTACATATTTTAGGAACATGTATGGGAAAATGCAATAGAAACTGTATAGGCATTAGAAAAATTCCAGATGCTAGGAGAATGCATGGGTTAATGGGAAAGCATCTACCTGGGGGACTCTGGTCAATCCATGCCTGCCATGTGATCACTACCTTTCAAGACTGTTCCCTTGACACCTCCTCTGTTCCTGTTTTTATTTTGGGTTCATGTCCTTGTTCACTGCAGTTACTACAAGATTGCCTCTTACTTGACTTTTCTCCACCCTATCTCTCATGTAGCAGCACGATGACTTAGCTGAACCAACAGTTCTTTTACATCATTTTCATGATGAAATGGCCTCCCATTTCCTTCCTGATACTGGGCATACGGAGCATGAAACACAGGGATCTTTGTCACCTTCCTGACCTCCCTGCCTGCTTGCACGGTTTCATCTCTGGCCATATGCTCCTCCACTGTGCTTTAATCCCAGTGAATTGTAACTCTTTTCTGGACCTACAGTGTTGTCAGACACTTAATTCGTTTTGAACAAGAAAGGTCAGAAACATGCCTATCCAGTACTTCACATGGTTATTCTTAAAAAAAATTTTTTTTAAGATTTTTTATTTATTTATTAGAGAGAGGGAACAAGCAGTGGGAGTGGCAGAGGGAGAGGGAGAAGCAGACTCCCCACTGAGCAGGGAGCCTGATGTGGGGCTTGATCCTAGGACCGTGAGATCATGACCTGAGCTGAAGGCAGATGCTTAATCAACTGATCCACCCAGGTATCCTGACATGGTTAGTCTTAATCTCATCTTTGAGCATACATAGCAGATAGCATTTCTGCTGGGCAATTTTCTATAGCTATAGACAGAAATTGCAGTCCTTGTTCTTTGTCCCAGTTCTCCCTAAGTTGAATTGGGTGAGACTCTAATAGACTTCTGTTCTATCCTAGGTCTACCTCTATCCATGTCACTGATCAAATGGAATTGTGTTGTCTACAGGTCTTTGGATCTTCTGGTCATTTGACTGTTCTCTCAGACTCCTTCCACTTCTTTGCACTCTTCCTTAAATACTCTCCCCACATATATAATCCCTAACAAATTGTACTCTTAGAAAGTGACCTGGAGGTACTGGCTGGATTTCACTTAGGGAAAAGGGGCAGAAGTGGCTGAGGAGGGGTTAACATGACTACAGGCCTGAAATTCCAAGCCATTTTATATAAAATTATACACACATGTTTTAAAAGCCATAACCACAGTCATCTTTAAGATCATTCAGAGCCACTTTTGGATGCTGCTTATAAAGGACGTAGCTCCTGTGCAAAGAATGAATCTGATGTTAAGATGGTAGACATTTAAAAATTTTTGGTCTATTAGTCAAAATCTTTTATAAAGATAAACCCAAATACATAATTTAATTTAAAAATATAGCCAATATTGTTCATTATGAGAATGTATCTCTTAATATACTCATGACAAATACAAGAATTAAAACAAGAACTGGGAAAGTAATTTCACTCATAAGACTATTCATGATTTTTTGTTCAGTAACTTTATTTTCAGGAAATGACCTTATATAAAATGTAAGAAGTATATTACTGTTAAATACTCAAAATATAAAAATATTAGAGATGACTAAATGTGGTTTGTTTTTTATGTAAATTAGAAAACGTTAGTAGAATGTTACTGTTACTCCAACCCTGTAATTACTGAGAATGTTCATAACAACGATAATAGCAAACATACACTGAATATTCTCCAATATTGGAGAATAAAGGAAATTCTATAATATCATTAACTATTCATCAGAGCCTGTTACCTGACAGGTGCTACATTAGGTACTTGGGATATACAGTTGCCTAAGACCCAGGCCCTGTCCTCAAATCCATTAATAAGAGAAAGGGTATTTTAAAAGCTACCTAGAGTATGATGATATGCAGCCAGAAGTAGAGAATGACTGACTTGCACACTATTCTCTGAAGATGCAGTGTCAGGATCTCACAGCACAGTTAGACTGATGTTGACATCCTTGGGTAGCTGTATTTATAGATACTTAGAAAGTATAACTACTGGTTGGGGACCATTAAGATACAATAGTTTTGCAATGGTGCGATGATACCATGTTGTTACTGCTCAGCTTACTCAGAAGACTAGTAAGTAGAACATTGCATTGCTCTCGTCTTATAATGACTTAGAGAATATTATTAAGAACGATACCTAACATACATTGAACACTCTTTGCCTGGCCCTGTTGTAAGGCATTACATGTATTGTCTGATGTAGGCAATCTAATGACCTGGAGTTACTATCCTAATTTTTCAGATGTGGCAACTGAGACATGGGGAGTTGAGACAATATATCTAAGATAATAAAGCCTATTTGAGATGGGGCAAAGATGAAAATTCAGTCTAGATCCAGAACCTGTGATCTTAACCACAATTCTAATGACCTCCAGAAGAAAATTCTCTTCTAATAGAAGTTGTCCTTGCTCACTCATGAGTGACTACAAGAAGCCTAAAGGATAATCCTAAGAAGAGCCCATTTAGAAAGTGCATATTACTTGTGTAACTGTGGCTTCATTCTTGGGTTTGTTTTCTGTAATGTTAGAAAAACAATTTTGAGCCTCTGTATGTGACTAGACTTGGGATCCTTGGTTTCTTTACCACTCTCCAAACTTTAGTTAAAGGGAACTACCCTTCATCCTAAGATGGCATTAATTTTGATTGTAGTACCACCCAATTCAGTCTTACTGCATACCAGTAGATAAGTATAAAGGTATAAATATGTTACATTTACTGTGTACCAGGCACTGTGATAGGCACATAAATGTACATACAATTTGTTTCACACTGTGCCATTTTATTATCTGTGTATGTCTCCACTTTTTTTTGTAAAATGTATTTTTTTACTTAGAAGTTTCAAGAAAAGGATGCAAAAAGTTATAAACCTGCAAAAGAAACAGTGAGTGGGAAACCGTTTGTTAATGAGGTAGTTGTAACAAACATCTATATGGTGGGAAGCAGAAGAACCAGGGGTGAGTGACAGGGCAATGTGGGGGGTGAGCTCTAGGGAAGACAGCTGGTTTAGAGCCAGGAGGAAGGGAGAAGTAGAGACAAGAAGAGGTCCTTCTCACTTTGCCTTGCTGTGGCACATCTGGAATGGCTGTTCACTGAACTTGGGTGCGGGAGAAGGGAAAGAAGACTTTTCGGTTAGGAAATAGAACACACAATTAAGGCCAAACCAAAGACGAAAACAGGATCCTTACTTTGAGAGGCGGTGCCCCCAAGGTAAAGCGCTCTATATTCTGAAATAGGTGAGTGGAGGTCCTATATTAGCACCGATCTGCTCATCTGGAAATTAAGTTTACCAATAGATGATACATAAGTTGCTGCTAGAACTTTTCAAATGTAGATGAAGAAAAATAATCACTAGATATTGGATGAACTCTTGAAATGGGAAGGAAAATAAAAAATAAAATTTGACCCTGAAAGAAAGATCAAGGAAAAAAGATGAGGATTTATCCCCTTTGGGAAGGAGGGATTAACATGTGGCAGATGGTTGCTCCCATGAGAGCAACAAGAACCACCAGATAAAATGACAAATTTACCTATTTGAAGGCATCAGAGAGGTAATGAAATAATAACTAGAGAAACCAAAATTCCAGAAGAGAAAGGCTAAGGCATGTCCTGATACTTTGTAGCTAACATTTCTCTGGGATCATTTGCTGACTCTGTGCAATAGTCTGTGAATCCACATTCATAAATCAGACTTCAGAGACCT